GAACCACACGTCGGGACACTGTATGAGAACTCCATCACAAACCTAATAATGCCGATCACGAGACCAATGATTAGCCCCCAAAAGGCGCCCTTTTCGTTGATTCGGCCCCAAAACATGGCCAACACATACACCGCACAGACAGGAGGGGCCAGATATGAGGTGACGCTTTGGATGTAATTAAAGAGTTGACTGTTTTGCGACGACTCTATGATCGGAATCCAGAGAATACTGACGGCCACCAGAAAGAGGACAAATATACGGCCGGCGATCACCTGCTCTACCTCTGAGGCCTGACGACGGAATCGGTTATAGATATCGATAGTGAATATTGTGGACGCGCTGTTGAATATGGATGTGAGTGAACTCATGAGCGCCGCCATCATTACGCTCAGCATAAGACCCGTCAGACCTGATTGTAATGGTTTTCATATGAATTAACGCTAGATTAGCCAGTAAAGAACCATGAACATTTTACATACCCGCCGGCATCAGTCTAAGCACTAGCAATGGGTATGCGATGTTAGAGCAGCCGGACTCTGAGCCGCAGATCTTTTTGCATATATCGGGATTAGAGCAACCGATTTCATCTGAATTTTGGTAAATATAAATTGTAATTTAATTGAATTACTAATTAAGGTAACTCATACCCGGCCACAGCGCTCGGGCGGCCATTCCCGGCATAACCAACAGATAAAATGGTGAAATCTTAATGAATGAACACAGAGTACAGCCGGCCTTTGCGTGTGAGTAACTCCGGGCCGACAGCGCTCTTTGTACTATAACCTGATTGAGACAATGATAACAATAATTAATACATTTAAATTAAATAAATTGTAATTATAATATGTACTTGGTCAGAGCACCAGTACCATACGGCCGATATGGTAATGCCAAACACCATACCAGTCCAGGGAAGGTCCACATCATCCCAGGGTCTCAACAAATTCCTATAATAGGGCGTAATAGCACTACACGACTGGTTAGTGCTGTTATCGATGATAATATAGTGTGGATTTTTGGATTCACCCCGAGTCCTGAAATTGTCCATTAATTCATTATAACCGCTCGGATTATTGTACTCTTTTCCCACTTCATTAAAACCTATTGTAAGTAAATTTAGTTTAAATCACTTACACTTTATTAATTAGTAATGTTGTTAATTATGTAATTACTTAATATAGTGAGCACAATGCCTGAATATCTAAGAAAACGATTTGGTGGTCAACGGATCCGTATATATATGTCAGTGTTGGCTCTATTGCTCTACATCTTTACCAAAATATCTGTTAGTTTTATTTATTGAC